GATGGTGGCTGTGTTTTGCAGCATGGCAACTAATTTCTAGCTTGTCATTTTTTACTAACTAACTAACCAGCTTCAAAATGGTTATACCAGTTTAATGTTGACTCTGGGAAATGGTGGTTATTCAGCTAGCCAATAACCAGCTTGGACCATCTAAGTTAGAAACCAGCTACAAAACACAATCTCAAATTTTGTTTTTGTCAACAATCGTTTTGAAGAGAAAACGTCTGCTGACACAAATTTTATGTAATGTAAATATTAACCTAAATATAAATCTAAACAGTATTTATTCAGGTAAGAGCATCATTATCCAAGTGCTAACCAATCTATTGGTTTCTTTTCTAACAACAATATAATTTCCGTCTTGTTGACTGGAATACCACAGGAATAACTTTTTAAGATTAAATCTAGTCAGTATAGCCCTATTAGTGTGATAAACAAATATAATGTGCATATAAGCATAAGTGTGTAACATTATCACCTGGTTGAAAGGATGAACTTCGATCTGAAGAAACCAAACCACTTGAACCCAATCTTGAACGTCAACTCGACGTCCAAATAATTATCAACAAGAAATCACATGATTTGGCGAGTTTGGTCGCCATCTAGCGGTGTGAATCGTCCTCTGCAAGGGTCAACGGTATTTGAACGGTCAATCTCACCCAAACTAGCTTGTGAAGACTATACGGGTGCGAATAAAGGCTTGAATCCCTTACATTAAGTAAAAACAAATGTTAAGGGGGTCTTAAAAGTTGATTTCAGTATTATTAGTGACCATAAAAGTTAGACAAAATTAGTTTAAGCGCACTTACACGGCGTTCGCCTCAGAAGGTAACCATAGCAACAGTTAACTGCTTTCCGAGGGCTTTCCGTGTCAATATATTATGTATTATTGATTTATATTTAACAAGTATATCTCAGTGTTTAAGTATATCTCAGTGTTTATACATACGTAGGCCTAAAGAATACATACAATATGTGAAAACGTCTTCCCTTGTACTTTAGCCGTATCTTGTGTACTTCGTTCCTCAAATTCTTATATTAGCTTAGCAGTTTTGAAGAACATAAGCTGATTTCTGCAACCTCAACTGATAGCAACTCACACAAGCCTTTGATATTATTATTAGAGGACTGTTTATTTGAAATGGACTGCTCTAGTGTGGGAAAGAGCACCATTTTATGGAATATCATACCCTTACGAAAATTAACCATGGTTTTATTATAGTAAAAATGTAGTAATATGACTTTGGTGGATTGATTACCATTCGTATAACCACAGTTTTACCACAAATACCATGGTTAAACTATGCTTAGTGTAGCAAAACCATGGTTAATTTGTGGTTACCAACCATGGTTTAACAACAATAACCTTTTTTTACTTGTTTGTTTTATTTGTAGTAAAACCCTGGTTAATTTTCACGACCGTTCCTCAAATTCTTATATTAGCGAAGCAGTTTTGAAGAACATAAGCTGATTTCTGCAACCTCAACTGATAGCAACTCACACAAGCCTTTAATATTATTATTAGAGGACTGTTTATTTGTATTGGACTGCTCTAATGTGTGAAATCACCATTTTATGGAATACATGTAATCATACCCTTACGAAAATTAACCATGGTTTTATTACAGTAAAAATTTAGTAACCATGACTTTTTGGTGGATTGATTACCGTTTGTATATCCACAGTTTTACCACAAATACCATGGTTAAACTATGTTTAGTGTAGCAAACCCATGGTTAATTTGTGGTTACCAACCATGGTTTAACAACAATAACCTTTTTTTACTTGTTTGTTTTATTTGTAGTAAAACCCTGGTTTATTTTCACGACCGTTCCTCAAATTCTTATATCAGCGAAGCGGTTTTGAAGAACATAAGCTGATTTCAGCAACCTCAACTGATATCAACTCACACAAGCCTTTGATATTATTATTAGAGAATTTAAACACAAAAGTCACACTCTTTATTTGAATTGGACTGCTCTGTTGTGGCAAAGAGCACAATTTTATGGAATATGTAATCATATATAGTCTGTATTGTGTGTGTATGTAAGTATAGAGATCAGTCAAAACATGGTTGGTATGAACATGACTGCTGTCCCCACCTGCACACCCACACCCAAACACAGAGCATGTCCACAATTACTCATCACCCAAACATTACTGGTCAGCCCAGTGACCCCTCCTCCTCTGGGTGACCCCGACGACCTAGGCGCCATGGCAACCCTGTGACCTATCCAGCAGTTGCCAAGGAGACAACCTTGGAGCACATCTGACCATTGCCCCCTCCCTTCCCCCTTTCTGCTGAGACGAGGCGAGCGATCGATATTCTATCACACAGAACAGTGGAGCGAGAGAGGGAGAGGGGGAAAGGGGGAGAGAGAAAGAGAGAGAGATTGGGGGGCTGCATTGAGCAGAAAGATTAAAGCGGGCAGGACAGCTGACAAGGGGAGCGTGTGTATATGTGTGTGTGTTTCATAATGAGGAGACATATTTCTGTTATTTTGGAGAGTTGGCTTCAAGGCATGTTTGTAATTCTGTTTTTAGAGGTGTGGTTTTGTGTGTGTGTGTGTGTGTTTGTGAGCCCTCTTCATCATCAAAATGAAACAGCGGCCGAATGTAACCAGGGAATTCATCAAAGACTTTACTGCAGCCCGTCTCCTCCTTTCTCTTTCATATAAAACCACAAACTGTATATATATATATATATAACAGCTTAAATATATAAGCTGTTATAGGCCCTCGGTCTCTATCTGTGTGTGCAGACAGTCTTTAAAAGGGGTGACCCACACCTCTAGGTGATACGTCTGTGAAAAAGCAATTTTACTTTATTTATTTATTTACAGGAAATTTTATCTCAAATTAAATTTATGACCACCTGCTGTTTTGAAACGTTATTGAAAAACAACTTCCTCAAAATGATGAATGTTGCTAAAATATTAGGGAGTGATTTCGAGCGAGATGTGTTTAATGTGATTATTGCTGCGATGTGATTTTGGGAGAAGCCACCTCTAGAAATGTCACAGCGCCAAAACTCATAAAAGCTATGAGAAAGAAGGTTATAAACCTGCGAGAGTGAATTAATGACAGTAAAAGCATTAACAGACTTGCAGAGTTCAGAGAAAAGCCATTACAGAGGTAAAAGTTCTCACACTGGTCATGTTAATCGAGCGAGTAGTTTTTAGTATTATTTTTATTAGCTGACTACAATTTCCTGGCTGAATCCTACCAGAATGTGCCTAGGTCATATTTCACCCCCCAAAATAAAATAATATAATAATAGAGAAAAATAAATAAAAGTAATTTTGAATTATAATTTATTCAAAAATAATGAATATATTTTATCAAATTATTTTCATTACATTAAATCACATTTCTTACCCCCAAATTTTCATACAAACTGCAAAAATATATATTTTATTAAATTTGAAAACATTTAATATCAGTATTTGACTAGAAACACAATTGTCTGAATCACACAAAGCCTCTCAAATTAATGAATAAAGAAAATAAAATCCATTTTATTTTATTTATCAAATTATTTTCATAACATTTAATCACAAATTCTTAACCCCAAATTCTCATTAATATGCTGCAAAACTGTATTTTATTGAAATTGTAAAGCATTATATCAGTATTAAAAGTAGTATATCATGGCAGTATTGTTGTACATTATTATAGTTTTAATTAAATTAAAAAGCATTGTGTCCGGAAAGGATGATTCTCATTACCTTAATACCAAAATGAGTAAATAATATTGAGAATAATGTGAATTACAAACTGAAAAGACATCTGGATGCATTCTGGGGGATATTCAACTACACTAAAACATGAAATTCACTCCTGTGAATTAAAAAAAATTAAAAATGTTGATTTTGAACTCAAACACAGTGTGAATGCATGTTTAGGCATCCTGAAAATGCAGTAGATTTGAACATTTGCACAAAATATTTCATTTGATCTCATGCCAGACATCAGACACAAAAACAAACCGACGCCAAGCTGAGAAAAGAGAGATCCTTCTTTTTTATTTCATTTTTTGCTGTTGTTTCACATATTGGTACACTGCTTTTAATCCATTTTTTCTGCACTTATTTAAACAATGAAATCAGAGAGAAGTCTCTTTTTCCTAGGACACAGAAAGATTGTATTTTCTCTTTTTTTTAACAGGGGAAGAGGGGAAACGGGGGCGGATAGAGGAGGGCGGCTTCTTCACATCGTTCACGAACAGACAGACGGGGACAGAGAGACGGACAGAAGAAGCAAGAGCTGGGAGGGAGGGGGGAGTGCGGGATAAAAAGGGGAGGGAAAAGAGGAGCGAGAGAAAGAGAGAGAGAAAGGGCGGCAGTGTGCTTTGTCATGTCTGAGAAAAATGAAACCAAGCAGCTCTCAGACACACTTCTAACATAAAAAATATATTGAACAAAAAAGTTATGAATGATTAATAAATACAACACTCAAAAATACAACAACAACAACGACATGGAAAGAAAAAACTCTGAGAAAGGGAGACAGACAGGTGCCAGATTGGGGTGAGGAAATCTGTGCTCCTCTTTTTCCCGAGCGGAGTGCGAGAGTCTAAATGAGTTATGATCTTTAGGTTATTTGTATTTTTGGACGGTAAAGATAACAGTAATCTAGCGTGGCAGTGTTTGTACAGGAGTCCCTGTCGACTGTGACCGAGTCTAAATGCAGCTGCTGGGTTTGGACAGACGTTACAGAAGGACAGAAGTTACAGTGTGTTTATCAGTATTAGTAAACCTTACTCCTATCATATTGGCAGATTCAGCTGTAGTCTTTGAGCAGAAAAAAAACAGGAGGTTTGTCGTCTTCCTCTGTGGTTGGTCCTCTCATCTTCTTATTTTTTATTTCAGTAAAAGGAAGGAGTAACATGGCTGTTTCTGTATTGGTGTTTTTATAGTGAAAAGAGGAATGGGTAGAATGTGAAAGAGAGAGAGAGAGAGAAAGAGATGAAGAAAGAGAGCGAGGGAATGAGGGAGAATCGATGAGAGAAGTATTTGACAATTCAGTAGTATGTCTCCTTTTCAACCCAACCTGAAATAAAACAAAGAGAGAAAGAGGATCACTCAAATTCAGCATCAGTAACATGGATATTAAAATTATTCCTTGTTTGGGCAATCAGACATTCGCAGAATATTCATATGAGGAGCATTGGGAATATGTCTAAAGGCACTTTATTTTTTGCAATGCTTCCTCAGCACTTATATGACTAAAATTGATCATGAATCAGTTCAAACGGCCAAATACAGTGAATCGATTCAAAACTGATTCAATGATTAATTTGCATCATAAACTCTGATGTTCACATGGGTGTCTATGTGGCATCTTCCATGCAATAAAACATT